GCACACACCAAAATAAAGAAATCATTAAAAAAGGGGGGGGAAAAAAAGAGATGAAATTAAGCAAAGCTGCATTTTTACCAAAGGGTGGTTGGACAGTCAAGGTGAAGAGCAGCACAAGGTCCTGGACATCTGCTCATTCCTTCTCCAAAGGCAAGTGTCACCCATCCAGTGTCACCCATCCAGTGTCACCCACTGCTCACCAGTCATTTTAGGAGGAAAGGCCTGGGTGGGTGGGGGGCAGCTCGTGGGGAGGGGGGACAGGGAGGGAACTGGTGGCATTTTTTGGGCACAATTTGTGCTTTTCAGCTGGAGGCACAACCAGAGGCAGCACCAGCAGGACCCCGTTAGCCCAGGGTGTGGGGGGGGTCCCACCTGCCCCATCTCACCTGGAAGACTCTGGATGAGGAGCAAGGGGCTGGGGAGCAGAGGGACAGGGATAAATAAATCCCTCCACCCCTGAAAGCTGAGGGGGCTCAGGTGGGTGTCAGGGTCCCAAAAGACCTAAAAATGGTCTATTTGAAGGGTAAAAATCAGGCCAGTAACCAGGGAGAAGAGCCACGGGTGGAGGCTGCACTCATCCAGCTGAAAAAACCACCATCTCCAGCTGAAAAAGGAGCTTTTCTGTGGGCACCTTCCACACTCTGGTAGTTTTTTATGGTCCATTTCCTTGCTCTTCTGCCTCGGGCCCCTGACAGAGGGAGGACAAGGACAACCCCTGCACAACTCAAGGTTGGACAAAGGAGGCTGTAAAAATTTCTCCCAGATCAGCAGATGAGAGCACCCTCCAGAACCAACCTCCAGAACCACTCCTGGCAGGATTCAACCACCAGGTGTTCCTTCCCAAACTGGGATGGGGATCCATGGAACCACCTGTGTCCACAGAGACCATCACCCCCCCAGGCACAGACCACTCCCTTCACATCCAGCCTTCAAACAAAAGCTCTGGATCTTTTCCATGCCCAAACAGACCCAAGCCCTCTCTCCCCTCCCACTTAGATGTGAAGGAACTCCAGGAACAGCTTTGTTTTTAATGGATCTCAGGAGAAGGCTGTTAACTACACTTGACCTTGGGCTCTTCTCCAGGGCTGCTGGCCACAGGCACTGACCACACTCCAGCTCCCCTGCCTATCTTGGAGCAAGGAGAGGTGGAGCAAGGCCCTGGGAAGGTTGAAGAGCATCTGCCACCTTCATCAGAGCCCACCCTGCTGCTCCTGGGGGTGCAGATCAACATGGGGGGCTCTTGTGGAGCTCCAGCCAACACTGAGCACCTCCCACCAGCCCCAGCACATTCCCTCCCTCATCTCAGCTCCCACAGACAGACCCCCAAGCCTTGCTGGCCTCCCCTTTGGGGTGGCCACCCCTACCATGCACAGGGGACAATGGCAGATGCACTGGTCAGGCTGCTGGAGAAACCCTTCCCAGGACAGTGACAGGACACATGGAATTCAAGTATTGCCCCAAAAGTCTGGCTGCTGCTTCAGCAGCTCTGAGAGCCACAGAGTCACCTTGGCCACCTTCATGGGGAGATCAGGGGGGTCCCCAGAGGGGAAGAGGAAGGAGCAGAGCAGGACAGGGCTCCCCTGGCCCACCCCAGAGCAGGGCTGGGTGTTCTCCCCACCAGGCCAGCCCAGCTCCAGCAGGATGGGCTCCACACTCATTCCCAGTTTTCCCTGGTCTGCTGCTTTCCCTTCCCAAAGCCAAGCTGTGTCTCTCCAGCCCAGAACAGGGAAAGGAGGAGTGACAACACTGTCACTACCATCACACCAGGGAGAGGACCAGCTTCTCCCTATCTTGGGCAAGACCCAACTCCCAGCTCCCCACAGCCCCCTCCACACCCACCAGCCCCTCCTGCCACATCCTTGGCTTCAGGGTCTATTTTTGGAGACAAGCTGGACAGGAGACACATGCCCTGGGCACTGTCCTTTGCTGGCACAGACTTGGACACTCCAGGCACCAGACCAGGCTCTTGGGAAGACTGTTCTTCCCTTCCAGCATATGGATAAGTCAGAAGATTCAACTCCTCAGCACAAGGAGCTGAGCTGCAGCCAGGCCAGGTGAGGGGATCTTTGAGTCTCACCTGCTCAAGCACAGACATTTCCCCCCTGCTGGTGGCCCCAAGTGCCCTGTGTTCTACTCAAAGCAGCTGCACTCATTTGCAGGCTCCTGCTAACCTGGTGTGAGCCAGGGGGGGAACTATGGCCAAGGGGAGGGGATGTGGCTGGGGGGGGGACAAGGGCCTGTCCCCAGATGGAGGGGACAGGGTGGCTGGGGATGGATCAGCTCCCATTTCACCAGGGCTCAGGAGATGCTGCTCAGCACATCTTGGGGCAGCTCCACTGCCCTGACAGCCACTGTGACAGTCAGTAGTGTCCCATGAGGTATTTCTACACATTTTGAAGCTCAGTTATTAGTTTCATCTGGAAGCCACCCACAGCCCCCTCCACACCCACCAGCCCCTCCTGCCACATCCTTGGCTTCAGGGTCTATTTTTGGAGACAAGCTGGACAGGAGACACATGCCCTGGGCACTGTCCTTTGCTGGCACAGACTTGGACACTCCAGGCACCAGACCAGGCTCTTGGGAAGACTGTTCTTCCCTTCCAGCATATGGATAAGTCAGAAGATTCAACTCCTCAGCACAAGGAGCTGAGCTGCAGCCAGGCCAGGTGAGGGGATCTTTGAGTCTCACCTGCTCAAGCACAGACATTTCCCCCCTGCTGGTGGCCCCAAGTGCCCTGTGTTCTACTCAAAGCAGCTGCACTCATTTGCAGGCTCCTGCTAACCTGGTGTGAGCCAGGGGGGGAACTATGGGCAAGGGGAGGGGATGTGGCTGGGGGGGGGACAAGGGCCTGTCCCCAGATGGAGGGGACAGGGTGGCTGGGGATGGATCAGCTCCCATTTCACCAGGGCTCAGGAGATGCTGCTCAGCACATCTTGGGGCAGCTCCACTGCCCTGACAGCCACTGTGACAGTCAGTAGTGTCCCATGAGGTATTTCTACACATTTTGAAGCTCAGTTATTAGTTTCATCTGGAAGCCAAATCCTTTAAAAAAATAAGAAAAAAGAAGAAGAAAAAAAAAAAAAAAAAAAGAAAAACCACCACATATTTTTTTTTCTCCAAGACCAAAACTGAGGCCAGAGCTGAGGGAGGACAGGATTTGTCAGCACCCTCCACAGCAACACTTGGCAGACAAGCAGTATTTTTCCAGGCTGCTTTAAGATCCACACAACTGTGTCTAATTCAAGGATGTGGATGATTCTGCAGGGCAAGACCAAGGGCCCAGCAGCTCCTGAGTGACCACAGGCAGCTCCCAGAGCTCCCAGCCTGGATCCAGGGACCTGGACCACACACAAAACCATCCTGTTTTCAGAGCAGACTGCTGCAGGATGGAGCAATTCCTTCACTTTGGGCTGAGGGCACAGGAACCTCCTCGTTTAACTACAGCAGGAAAGATGTTTCTCCAGACTTCTCAGCATCACTTTGAGCCAAAAAACTTCACCATGAAATGTAAAACTCTTTGCTGCAGTGGATGAAACAGCAGCCTGGGATCTGAAGGGGTCAAGGGGGTATTTCAGACAGTGCCAAGCCCAGAAGCACAGCAAGAGCCACCACCTCTCTGGGCTTTCCAGTTTCTGAATTGCTGTGGTTCCATGGACATTCCTGGAGAGAGGAGGAAGCAGCAGGGAAGCTCACAGAGATCAGATGCTGCTCCAGGAGAACCCTCAGTTCTTGCCTCTTGCTCCGAGTCACCCCAGAGATGATGCTCAATGTCCTGGCAGCTCCAAGTTCCTTCACAGCTCACCAGAAAGACACTTCCTTCCTTCACAGCTTCAGGAGACAGCCAAGGGCTAAAAGTGCATGTCCCAGGGTCCTGTGAGGCTGAGACCACCATGGCAAGTACCTTTGGACTGTGGCAACAGTGATGACAACAGCTTTGCCACCCACCTTCCTTCCACCCACCCTGGGGGTTCAGCAAAGCCTTCCAGTGTTTGCTGGGGGAACGTGGCCTCCTCAGAGAAGCACCAACCATTCCCTTTGGCTCCAGGACATCCAAGTGGTTCCCACGCTTGGGCCCTACTTAAAAGCACCCAGGACCACCCTGCAAATCCAGCTGCAAAGCTCAGCTGCCCAGGGCTGGGTTTGGCTCTCTTCTCCCAAATCCCAGAAAGAGGAGCAGCTCCAGAGGTGATTCCATGTGGCTGCACATCCTTCTGGCTCAGTCTGTCTCCAAGCAGCTCATCAGCTGCACCACCTCTGGGGGGGAACCAAAGAACAGTCTTGCCATAACTCCTGGAGCAGATGATCTTCCTAGAGAGTCCCCTTCTCTCTCTCCCCACCTTGAGGTTTCCAAGGGAGGATAATAAAACTCAGCTGCTCATAGGACAGTATTTCTCATGCTGAAAATTCCAAAGGAAAACCAACCAAAACAAAAAGACAACATCAAAAAATAAAACTTTCAAAAACCAGTAACTAGTGCCATGACATTCTTTGTTCCACAAGGAGTCCCCGAGCTGGGCTCAGCTGTCTGCAGGACCCTTCTCCCTCAGGCAGGAGCTGAGGCTCTTGTTCCCACTCTGCTGTGCTTCCCAGGAGCCCTGATCCCTCTTCTCTGGACAAAAGAGCTGGAGCAGCAGCTGCTGAGCCGGCTCCACCGGCGCCTCCTTCCCGGGGCTGCAGGGTGGTGACAACCACAGCCCTGGGGGGGGGGTGGGAAAGAGAGAGGGGAGAGGGATGAACCAGCCCCCTGGATGCAGCAGGACCTGCCCCTGCCTGTAGGTGGGTTGGAAGGAGGGTGAGCACAAGGCTTGTGGGGGCAGAGGAAGCAGCAGGAAACTGGTCCCCTCGGTAGGGAAAAGCTGGGGAAGGGTGAAGAGCCAGGACTGGTTTGGGGAGGGTTGGGGTGTTTCCTTTGCAAAGAGGGAGGGATTTCGGTGTGAGCCCGGGATGGGAGGGCCCAGCAGCACTCACCTACCATCAGTGACAGCGACAAGGCAGCCTGGCTACGTGGAGGACTCTGTCTCCTGCTTCTGTTTGGAGATGAGCTGAGCTTCCTTCAGCGACAGGTAAACCTCCTCCTGCGGGTCGTAGTAGTAGAACTTGCGGATGTAGGAGATCAGGGGCCTGGGGGTGGAAGGGGCAGAAGCTTTAACCCCGAGACACAACCACACCAACCTCCAGAAAGGATCACCAGCACTTCTCCTCCAGCCCTCCAGCAGCTGGGACCCCAAGGTTGTGGGACCAGTAGGTAACTCCTCCCTCAGGTGGTCACGGCTCCCACATCCCCACACAGCCCAGGACGTTCCTCGGGCTGAAGGAGTCAACTGCTCCTGCCCAGAGCCCTGGCTGCAGACACAGACACCTTCTCACTGCCTCACAGGGAGGGTCAGGGTGGGAACCAGAAGGACTTGTCCCCAGGCCAGTCCTTGAGACTCACTTGGGCAGCGGGAGCTCCGGGATGTGGTCGATCCGGACCAGCTGCCTGATCCGGAAGCGGCAAAGGTGCTGCAGGGATTTGACATTGCTGAACCTGGAGACTGGGTACAGGAGCTGCACGGGTGTTGGTGGGAGACCTTGGGAGAGAAACAACATTGGAGAACAAGTGTTAGGTTAGACAAGAATCCCTGGAGCTCTAGGCAGGGCCGTGTCCCCCCACAGACCCCCCACGAGCCCGTTGCTTCCGAGTCACTTGAGACCAGGAGAGCCAAACCTCCCCAGTGCTGCCCCTTGGGCTGCAAAATGTCCCCAGTCTTCCTCACCAGGCCACAACAGTTCTGCTGGCACAGGGTGGCTGTGGAAAAGCAGATCCCAGGGCACAGCAAGCTGCTAACCACCCCCTTCCCCCTGGACTGGCAGATGAAGCATCACTCGATGCAAAGCAGCAACAGAAAGGAGGCAGGGGAAAGGCCAAGGAGAGGGCAGGCAGCACAGGCTTTGCTCTGCACAACCCTCTGGGTAGCTCCAGCCAGGCATTAAAAACCAGGGGGGGGGATTTGGTCAGCTCAGGCTGTGCCAGAGCTGCTCATTCTTGGGGTCACGAGGCTGGGCAGAGGTGGTGGCAGCTCCACCCCAGCAGCTCCCCACGCCAGGAACAGCCTGGCAGGGCTGAGAGCACAGACATCCCAACACCCCCCTGCCCCAAAACCTCCTCCTCCCCCAAAGTTAAGAGCAACAATGGAGCCCACAGAGCAGGAGCACCAGGAAGGATCTTCAGGAGCTGGGTTCATTCACAGCACAAGGTTTTATCTGTCTTTACAGAAGGATTCAAAGCCAGTTATACTCTAACCCCCTCCTGCTGCCTTGTGTCTGAGGGCAACGGAGTGAAAGGAGAAAAGGGAAAGCTCTTCACACTAAGATGGGCTCAGAACTGCTCCAGGCAGCTCAGGAAGCTGCCAGCCAGCTTTTCAGAGAGCAAAGAACAGCAAGCAATTGAAGGCTGGATTCTCTCCCCCTCCTCCTTCTCCTACCAAAAAGGAATTAGCCTCTGGGAGCTCAGCCAGCAAGGATGGGGAGGCAGCACCAGCCCCACATGCCCCAGGGCCAGCAGCCAGCACTCTCAGCTAGCCACACAGGAGCTGGGAGCAGCCCCTTCCCCTGAGCACAGGAGAACAGCACTAACCAGCACCCCAGGGAGATGTGGATCCTCACTGTTCTCCCCCTAAAGATCAGGCAGCAGGGTGGGACTTTTGTTCTCCAAGGATCAAGGCACCCAAGGGCCAAGCTGTACCCAGAGGGGAGCTGCAGGACCCAGAGCCAGCAGCAGGGCTGGCTGGTGGCTCTGAGGGACACCAGGCAGCCAGGGACTCCTCAGCAGGTGCCCAGCACCATTTAGGGGGTATATTTTCTTTTTCAAGGATATATTTCTGGAGCAAGTCCTTCCTAAGGTATTTGCCTGGAGTTTTAAGCCCTCAAAGCTCCATTCTGGAGGGGAAGGGATCTCAGGATCAGGAATTTGACGTGTCTTGCAGTGGAAAGGATGTTTTGAAGGCTGGGTCCATTCCAACACCAGCTTCTCATCCCTCTCCTCCCCAGAATGGGGCCCTGTTCTACATCAGTTTTCCAGTTATTACAGCAGAGGGCAACACTGAACAGGTCTGGGCTGTGACCCTGCCCGGAACCCTGAGGAGGGCAGAGCAGCAGCTGATCAGAGAGCACAACATCCCCGAGGCTGGGGGTGGGACTCACCGGGAACCCTGGATCGGAGGAAGTAGAGAAACTTCCCATTCTTGGAGTGCATGATGGCTCTCTTGATGAACTCCACCACTGACTGGCAGCGGTCCTCAAACTTGGGGTGGCACCACAGGCTGAAGGTCCCTTCCAACAGAACAGAAAATGTATTATATATATAATACAGGGCTCCAGGAAAGCTGGGGAGGGACTTGGGACAAGGGCAGGGAGGGACAGGACAGGGGGAAGGGTTTCAAGCTCAAAGAGGGGACATGGAGATGAAATCTGAGGAAGGAATTCTTCCCTGTGAGGGTGGTGAGAGCCTGGCCCAGGTTGCCCAGGGAAGCTGTGGCTGCCCCATCCCTGGCAGTGTTGAAGGGCAGGTTGGATGGGGCTTGGAGCAGCCTGGGCTGGTGGGAGGTGTCCCTGCCCATGCAGGGGGTTGGATGTAGATGATATTTGAGGTCCCTTCCAAACCAAACCATCTGTGATTCCTGTGACTATAGGAGCACTGGTGCAAGAGGAGACATTTAGTCTCAAGCCTGATGTTCTCAAAGACCAGGTGAATGCCCCAGGGTGACTATTCTTAGGGAGATGGGACATGGCACTAAGAGGAATCACCAGTGGCAGCAGCTTGAAAGGACCCTGTTCCACTGGAACCAGCTCTGCAAGAGCTGAGGACACACAAAGACATGACACGACCACTGCAACCCAAGCATGGCCACTAGTCACACTTGCCTGCACTTGCACACAGCCTGAAACCACTGCTGGATCTCAAACCATCCAAACCTGCTCAGACAAGAGCACCAGCAGATGCCCCTGCACCTCAGCACTATCCCACCAGCAGCACTCCCACAAAAAGGCAGCAAAGAGGGATGATCCAGAGGCTGAATTCCTCCTGTGCCAGCCCTGCAGCTGGCAAGGATCCCTTCTTTCAGAGCAGGCAGGGAGCAGCTTCATGTTCTTGGCCAGCTCCAACACCTTAATTCAAATGACTGTCAAGTAAACAGTGAAACTGGAGACAGGCAGCCCAGGGAAAGCAGAACCCCTGGGCTGCCCACAGGTCTCTAAATAGGTTAAATTTAAGCCTCAAGTCAGAGCAGTCTCAGGATCTCTTTGTGCTGCAACCAGACACCTCCTCCCTGCAGGTGTCCGTGAGCTTTATTGGGAAAAAAAAAGAAGAAAAAAAGAAGAAAAAAAGCCTGTCCCCCTGCCATGGACCAGCCTGGGAACAAGCACCTGGGTCAGCACCTGCTGAAGATCCAGGATCAGCAAGGACAAAAATAAGTAACTCTTGTTGGGGATCTCAGATGTGAAGGAGCCCTTTGGATTGGGCAGATGCACAGGGCAAAGCACAAACCCCAGCTCCCCCAGCCTGCCTAGAAAAGGACAAAGACATTCTGGTTTCTTCCTCTCATCTCCCTGAAACCTGAAGGTCAAGCACTTCTCTTTGCCACCCCCCCCCAGCCTCACCATTTGTCACCTTCACTGGTTTCCCAGAGTGCTCAGCTCTGCAGTTTCTTGTGGTGCTGCAGAACATTCAGCACCAGGAGCATCAGTCCTGGGGGGTCCCAGGGCTGCTGAGGCAGAGCCAGACCCTGCCCCCCGAAACCACATCCTTGATGGGAGCCCACAGGGAAGCACCCACCTCCATCCAAGCAGTGAGGACAGATGAAGGGAAGGACTCCTGGCTAAGGAAGCTCTGAGAATGGATGTAGCCCAGCCCAAAATAAGAAACTGGACCAGCAGCAAGAGAAGCCTGTTCCAAAACTCAGTTATGAAGAATTTTCCACTGCACAGGCAGCCTCACACCCCCTCCACCTGCAGGAGCTTCTTGCAGTGGAAGGACAAAGGGATGAAAATCCTTCCTCCTCACAGCAAGCTCAGGGGAAACAGCTCTAAATCAATCCTGGGGCATCTTTCCACCAGAGGGGCTCAGGACCAGATGTGTTGCCAGGTTGCACTGGAAGAGGTGTGGGAAGACAAGAGGGGCAGCCCTGGGACAAGGGCAAAGGGGAGACAAAGATGAGCTTTGCTCTGCAAGGTTGGAAAGCCCTGCTTTCTGCAGCAGATCAGGGGGGACCCTCTGAACCCATTATTTGCTGGCCCAAATACTGACAAGGCTGTCATTAGAGCTTGTCCACTGGTTCCAGGGCACTTTCCCCTGGGCCCTGAGCCTCTGGGGCACTTTGCTGGCCCGAGGACAGCAGCTCTGCAAGGGTTTGGCACAGAAAACCACGGGTGAGGATGAGCAGTGTGGGGGAGGTGAGCAGCAGCTGCAGGAAGGGCACAAGTGGTGGCCCAGGAGTTCCCCAAGTGAAAACCCATTGTAGTGAGGTTGAAGACACTGCTGAGCAGCCCTTGGGCAGGGGGACAGCAAGGCAAGGTGACAAGCCAGGATATCAAGAGACCTCTTATCTTTCACAGGGAAATGGGCTTTGTTTTGGGAAGCACTGGAGGTGCAAATGGTGGCTCTGCTGTAGGTCACAGCTCAGTGACAGCTCAGTGACCTTGGGCCACCATCATTTTTGGGTCCAGTTTTCCAAAGCAAGGCCTGAGGCCGGGCACAGGGAACTCCTGTATTCCCCAGTTTTGTCAGAGCTGTAAGGAGAGTCACTGCCTCAGGCACAAGAAGCCAAGTCAGATGCAATTTCTAAGGCCTCTTGCAGAACCTCAGCACAAGAGTGAGGACACTTTGCTGCTGCTGCTCCTTCTCCTGCCAGCCCCCTGCCCAGAGCACTGTCCTGGCACTTTGTGACCAGGCTGGTCCCCAGGCACAGGTCTCCAGTGTCCCCAGAACCTCCCATGGCTCTCACCTCTGTAGTGCTCCATCCTGGTGTGATGGGTGATGCCCTGAGACCGAAAGCTGAGGCTCAGGATGTACCGAGGGTCAGAGCTGTCTCGGACCAGAAAGGATCCATCTGGCTTCCCCTTCAGCTTCATCTCTGCATCCTCCCAGTTCATGGGCCCCCAGTACCAGCCGCACTAGGAAAAAGAGACAGCCAGAAGGTCAGCAGATGCTGGCAAGAAAGATTTTTATCTGCAGCCAAACGCGACGCGAGTTGCTCTTGTTGGTGATTCCCTTTCAGTGCCAACATGGAAGGGTCAGGATGTATCCACCCTGGAATATGGATGGCTGGGACTCGTTGCTCCTGGATGAGAGCACATTAGCACATCAGCACATCCCTTACCAGCCAGAAGCAGCAAGAGAAACAGATGAGACCTTGCCACCCCTCCTGTGCACAACAAAATGCTTTTCTAGACTCAGAGACCTCACTGGAGGTTCTCTCAGTCCTGTCCTTCTCATGCGCCCAAGTCCAAAACCAGGACGATCGGTCCCTAAAACCAGAGCCTAAACCCACAGTTTTCTCCCTCTGGTTGCCACCACCCCCCTCCACACCCTGGTTACCTTCTCCAGCTCTCTCAAGCTGGCTGCAAAGCTGCTGGAGTCCGGGCGGTAGAGCGGGCACTGGAGGGGCGGGGGGGGCTGCTCAGGCGTCGCCTCCGGGGGCCGCAGGGGCACCACCCGTGGGAAAGCATCTGCAGAGGGACAGACAGCCCAGGCCCTGGTCACCACGAGGAGCTCACCCCAAGGAGAAGTCACCCCATCCTCCCTGGGGTCAGGGCAGAGCGTGGAGGGGCTGGGCTGAGCACTGGGAGGACAATGTCCTGGTGAAGGCACCGCCTGGCTCTGCCAAGGTGACCAGCTCGGTGACTTCACCTGCTCTTCCCTAACGTTAGCTCAGGGGAGGGCAAGGGCAGGGCCAGGTGGGACAGGCTGGGAGGAATGGGGACACAGCCTGAAAGCCCTCTGGGTGCTGAAGGACACTGCAAACAAAAGGGTGAGTGCAGAGGGAAGCCCCTGGTTCAGCTGGGGGGCATGGCCAGGGCTCCTGCTGCCACAGCCCCTGACACCCACCAACACCTGGCACAGCAGGGACTGGGGCCGCTGAACCCAGGAGGAACCAAGTAGAATGGGAGCTGCTGGATTGAGGACACAGCTGGTGCAACCACCAGCTTCAGCAAAACCACTGTGAGCAACGACACCACGTCACTCAAACACCAGGGCTGTGGCACAGCAGTGCCTGAGGAGCCATAGCTCCAAGGTCTACCAAGAAATCCCCCAAAGTCCAGGTCCCTGAAGGGAAGAGCCTGAGCTGTGCTGCTGAAGCTGAGCTGACCTGGGGCGTGGGGTGGAGGAGGTGGAGGCAGAGGGAAGGACTGCAGGGAAGAGCCCATTGGACCCACTAGCACAGATGCAGGCAGCGTCCCACTGATGTCATCTAGGAGAGAACAGAGGGAAGAGAGATTCAGGAAACAAGAGAGCAGTGAGCCCAGTGCTGGAGAGCACCTGGAAACATGGCCTGAGGAGCTGGCACTGGGCACTGCCTGGAGAACAGGAGATGGAGCTTCCAGGGAAGCTGTGGCTGCCCCTTGAAATGTTCAAGGGCAGGTTGGACGGGGTTTGGAGCAACCTGGTCTGGTGGGAGGTGTCCCTGCCCATGCAGGGGGGATGGATCTAACTGATCTTGAAGGTCCCTTGAACCCAAACCAGTTTGTGACTCCATGATTTTATGGTTCCCATCAGCCTCCTCAGGCAGATGCTCCAGACACTCCAGCTCAGAGCCACACACACTCACAGACACTCACACACACACTCACTCCTCAAGCCAAGCAGTCCCATTTCCAGCCCAGTAAGCTCCTCACATGCAGCTGGCAGCACCAGACAGGCTGTTAGAGGAGATTCCACAGCCCCAGCACACGGGATGTGCAGGTTAATGTGCTGCTTAGGTTGACTTTACCCATCCTAAAGCTGCTCCTGCTCTGAGGAGCCTCCTCCAGAGGAGGACATGGCAGCTACACTGGGCTCCACTGCCACCAACCAGAGAGCAGAGAAGGAAACTGGCCTGGCTGGGCCATGGGCAGGAAGGGGGGAGGTCCCCAAGGCAGCAGAATCACCAGGAAACCAGCACATCACATCCCACCTGGTGCTGCTCCAGCACCACCCTCCCCTCCTGGCTGATCCATGAGAAATGCTGAAGCCTCCAAAGAACAGCCAGAAATCCTCTGCTGGGCACCCTTGGGACCCTGCTCCTCCAGCCCTACCAGGGCAGTTCCTGTGCTCCCAGGAGATGCAGGGCCAGGGATGCTCTCCAGAATCATACCGAGCAGGCTGAGGCTTCTTCGTGGAGGGGGTGGAGGAGTTGGAGGGTGAGGGGAGCTCAGGCCTCGTGGGGAGATGTCCACGTCCACCAGGGACACCGTTTCACCTGCAGGGTGGTGGAGCAAGACTGTTAGTGTGGCACCTTCACCAGGGCAAGTCAAGCACAGGAAGGCAGGGGGGAGAGGAGAAGGGGCAGTAACCTCTGCAGGGCTTGGAGGAACATTTAATAATCAGCTGTTTTCTAATCAAATTTCCTGCCACACCCATTTTGAGACAACACCCAGCTCTGCTAGCACAGCCCAGAGGGTCAGGCAGCAGGGAATGACACCAGCACGTGTGCCTGAGCCCCAAGTCCAGCTCCAGGATGTGAGGAGAAGGCACCAAGAGACCTCTTCATCCCTGAGGTCACATCTGGGATAACACTCTTGTTCATGCCAGTCTGAGTTTGCCTCCCAAAGCCTTGGATGATCAAACACCTCTTGCCCCAAAAACCACAAAGGTACCAGCTCTGAAAATGAACAAAAGGGAGCTGGACAGGCTTTGATATTAAATAACTGGAATTCACTGAGGCCTAAAGTACCCAGGATGCTGCCTGGGGAAAATCATGACACAAACTAAAGTGTCTAACTTGAAACCAGAAAAGCTTAAAATGAATCTGAAATCACAGGAGGGAAATGAAGCCACCAAATCAAGGTCAAAGCATCAGCCTGAGTACAGGGCTGAGTCAAAAAGAAAACACCAAAATCCCACAGTGAGACCCAAAGTGGTGTCACCAGCACACAAACCAAATCACCCTGAGCACCTGAGCTGTGGTCTCAAGGACAATGAAATCCGGCTGCCTCAGATTCCAGTTCCTGTGGGCAGGGAACTCCTGTTCTGCTCCAGAAACCATACCCAGCATCATCCACCTCTTGGTAAACACCTGACAATGTCCCTACTGTGCATTACAAGGGACAATATTGACTCAGCTTCCCCTTCTGCTTTTAAAAAGCCCTGTCTAATAATAAGTGATGTCCAAATTGGTATTTAGGGTTGGTTATTATCTGAGGTACCTTCTCCCTGGGGGATTTATGGGTGTGAGCACACACACAGGCAGCCACTTTTATTTCCACACCCTAAAAATAAAGTGGCTGGGCTGCATTCAACTGCTGCAAACAAAATAAGAGGGGGTTGCAGGATTTCAGCTCTCAAATCCTTCCCAACCATGCAAGTCGGGCCAGACATCTGAATTCTGTCCTGTTCTGGTGGTCCCTGTCTCAGAAAATCCTCTCTACAGCAGCTGGTAAAGAAACTGAGTCCTCAGGTGAGCGAGACTGGAGAAGTCAATGACAAACCAAAGCTATTTAACTCCAGACATTCACTCTGGGGACACTTCAAAGGTCTTCTGCAAAGAGAAAGCTCCTATGAGAGGGCACTGCTGCCCTTCCATCAACTGGCAAAAATTGACATAAGCAACTTTTAACATAGTTAATAGGATAAACCAACAATTGATCAAACCAACCTCCCAAACTTAAAGCAAAAACTTGCCAACTCCAGGCTCTCCTCTGTAGCCTCTGCAGAAGAGCAGCTCTGCACACACCTCAGGTACCCCCATCACCAGCAGGCAGAATTACAGTTTTTATACCCACAGCTTCCCCTGCCAGCAGCTGACAAAGCAGCAGAAGCAGCTTTTGCTTTCACCAGCCTTGATTTGCTAAACAAATGCACCTGAAACTCAGAGGAAGCAAATCACACCATGAGAGGAGCACATCCTCTGCATCCTGCCCCATCACCAGGACATCACATTAGCAGGGGGGCTGGACTAGACAATTTCTAGAGGTCCTTCCAACTCTGACAATTCCGTGATTCTGTGGCCACCAGAGAGATGTGGGGATGGAGCAGAGAAGCAGCAGCACTAGGGCTGAATTGCCCCCAAGTGACTCCACTTTTGCAAGGGCTGAAGAAGCCACAAGAAGAGCCAGGAGCAGAGGAGCAGCTTCCAGTTCCAAATGCTCTGCCTCACAAGTCACTTCTGGGCAACTAAAACCAGTTCTCAGCTCATCCTCACTGCTCTCCAGAGCGGGATTGGTCCCACTCAGGAACAGAAACCACACACCAGCTCCTGCACCCACCTCTCAAACCCCTGGGCAGCCTTGCAGCTCTGCCCCTTCCCATCACACAACCCCATTTCGATTCCCCTGCCCTGCTATAAGCCCCAACATCCATTTATTTTCCATCTGACCTTCCTGACCAGCCACGTAAAACCCCACACAGCTGCTGGAGGCAGCTGCCCTTCAATTCCTACTCATGCAAGTCTTGGGTGTCTCCCCAGGAAGCCCCCAGCCCTGTGGTGACCACAAGCCCACAAGCCCAGCTGCACATGACCATGACAAGGAGGTTTTTTTACACTACAGCTCTCAGCCACCGACAGGGCAGGACTTCCCCCTCACACCATTTATAAAACCAGCCAACTTCCCCCCCGCAGCAGAAAAGGGAAGGTCAGACACCAGCAGGAGGTGAGGAGAGGGGGGGGACATGCAAGGAGGAGGAGGGCAGAGCTCCACCAAGGAGGTTTTGGTGCCCGGCGCTGTCACGCAGCGGAGCCGCCGAGGTTGGCGTGGGCTCCAGGTGGGAAGTGGGGCTGGGTCTCAGCCCCCCTCAAACCATGGGAGGGGAACACCCAACTGCACTGGCCCTGCAGGGGGGTTTCCCAAGCAGCCCCAGACCTTCCCCTCTGAAAGCACAACCTGAACTTGTGTTTCAACAGGCGGGATTGCAAAAGGCTGATGCACAACAGCTGCGTCCTTTGCAGCTCCTCTTGGTCAGGGTTTGGGGACAAAGAGGACAGAGGGAATCCACAGGGATCTCCTATGCACTTGGAGGTAACATTCAGGGCTCTTTTCAGAGTCAAATGAAACACCAAATTAAATCTTTCCAATCCTTACCTGTGAAGAGGGGGCTGAACACAACCGGGGAAAAGGCACTTTGAGTTCTTGTCAGTCTGTGTTTCCTGTGGGAAATAGGAGAAAGAGTTGTTAGCAGATGAGGAGACTTGGTGGATCCCACCCGAAGAAGACAGCCTGTGACCTTCTCAAACCAGCAGAACCTCCCCCAGCCTCTCCAGAAGCTGGAGGCAGCTCCAGTGCTGTGTGTTGATCCAGCTCCTGCAGCAGTGCTGTGGCCTAAGTAGGGCAGCCAACCAGTAAAGCTGGGTCTCCGTCCTGCTACCAGGCAAATCTCTAACTAGGTAATTAATAAAGTCTTTGGAAAGAAAAAACCCCAAGCACGTCTGGTAACCAGAGCCAAGGAGCTGTTTCACAACAGGCCTCAATGCTGCTCCTCTGGGTCAGGCCTTGCCAAATGCCTCTGACAAACAGGTTGGGTCCTGGGCTGTGCCTGGAGTGACAAGGGCCCCTGTGCCACCTCTCTGGAGGACACCAGCTCCACAGGGGGCTCGAGAGGCATGTGAGGGGCAGGGGAGCTAGACCTGGAGCTGATGAGATGGGTGGAAACAGCTAAAAACACAGCTCTGCCAAGGTTTGCCTTCCCAGCCAGTGGTTTTACACCAACACTGAGGCCACCCAGTGTCCTCCCCACACAGATCCATCCCCCCTTCCAGGGCTTCATCCAGATCATGGAATGGTTTGGGCTGGAAGGGACCTTAAAGATCATCTAGATCCAACCCCCCTGCATGGGCAGGGACACCTCCCAGCAGCCCAGGCTGCTCCAAGCCCCATCCAACCTGCCCTTCAACACTGCCAGGGATGGGGCAGCCACAGCTTCCCTGGGCAACCTGGGCCAGGCTCTCACCACCCTCACAGGGAAGAATTTCATCCAAATATCCAGCCTAAATCTCTCCACTTCCAGTTTAAAGCCATTCCCCCTCATCCTATCACTTCATGCCCCTATAAAAAATCCCTCCCCAGAGAAAATGCTGTGAAACTGAAGCACAGAGTATGGCAGCCTGAGGTCTTGAATCTGTGGTTGAGGTGAAACATCCCTGGTGCCAAAGACTCACTCCCACCTTACACCAAATGCTTCTCATGTCCAGGCACCTCTCTGGGTCACACAGCTGCCAGTAAATGTCCAGTACTCTTAACTTTGCAAATAAAAATACTAAGAGCACTCATCATCCTAACATTTAAAACCCCATTAAAATGTTTGGAGGTGTTTTCATTTTAATCCTCTTGCAGCTACTCCAGGGTTGGGTGTTTCCCCCAAGGAGAACAACTCACCCATTATCAGCCACACGTGCACACACACATTTTTGGACTAAGACCAACTCACCTGATGGCAACAGCTCTGTTCCCACCCAGCTCAGTGAGGAGCACTGCTGGCATTTTGCTGCCACCAAAACAGCTTCATTTCCTGCCAATGTTTTCACAGCCTATGATTTCTCAGACTTCTCATTTCTAGCAAGCTCACAGCAGCAGCAGGGTAAGAGCAAGGAATGATTCACACAGACCAAATCTTCCACTTCCCACCTCAGTCCCCACCACAACCACCACCCTCCATGCTTCCTTCTCCTGCCCTCAAGTTCTGCAGCATCCAAGTGACACTGAAACTCGTGCAGAAATAACTGTGACCAGTACCTGAAGGCTGCTGCACTGGGTCAGTGCAGCCCTGAAGAGCTGGAGAAAGCCAAGGGTGGACCTTGCCATTCAGGAATGCTACGGGCAGATCCTGCATGGATTTATGCAGACAGAACTGGGAAACTCCTCAGGCTCCAGCAATAAGGATGTTTAGGGCCAGTTCCCCACGAGCCCTGCCTTCACTCATCCCAGAGCACCATCCTGATAACACCAAGGGAAGGTTCACCCCACCATGTCCTCCTTTATGCACACTAATAATAAAAAAAACCCTCACAAGACTTGGGTACCAAACCAGAAGTGACCTGCAGCAGGTGCCCAGGTCCTCCTGCACCCACCTGGCTGCAGAACCACTGCCCACCCCTGTCCCCTTTCCCTCCAGCCACCTCTGCAGCACAAACTGCTCCCAGCAAAAAGGGCCATTTCGTTTTCACACAACCTTTAACTGCCCCCATCCAGGCCCGGGGTGAGGAGCTCCACGATTACTTTCTTGCAGCTGAGCAGAATCCAAGTATTGATCTTAGATAATGGGGCTGGTTTCCTTCCTAAGTGCTGCAGGAGGCAAAGCTGCACCACGTTGGCCTCCAGGACCGATGGGAAACTTGGGCAGCAACTCCAAATACCAGGAATTCTGCCATTTACGGATGTTGGAAAACAAAGAGTCAGATGAGATAAGAGCTGGGGCAGAGCAAGGGAGCTGCCCCCTTCACCACCAGCCCCAGCAAGGCAGGAACAAGAGCCTGGTAGCAGAGCCATGAATGAAGCCACTTCCCAGCAAGCCCAGCTTAGCTAAACTGGATCTAACCCCTCCTGAGAGCACGGGCATCCCAGCATCCCAAACCACTCGTCCTTATTGCTGGGAGAAGAAGAGCCAGACCTCGAGGGCCAGCAAGGACCAGCCCATCAACCCACAGCTTCCCAGCAGGAGAGGTGCCAGCTGGGAGCAGAGCCACATCCCACCAGCACGGGAGCAAAAAGCATCATTCCAGGAATCCAGCCTCGTCAGCAGGAGGGGACGCCTGGAACTGGAAGCAGCAAAGTCGTCCCTGAACCATCAGAGTTGCTGCATCAGGCACCTTGAAGTAACCTTTGCTAAAATGCTGCCTAATGAGTTGCACGATGCCAGAACACCAGGGTGACCATTAAACTCCCCAATCAGAGGGAAGCCCCAGGCAGCCAAAGGGTGTCCCTCTGCTCCTGACATGCCAGGACAACTGCCAACCCTTCGCTGCCTGATCCCAGTGCCAGCAGGTCCTGAGGACTCCACGCTCTCATCAAAAGCAAAGGACCAAATAAACCACAAACCCATTAGCAAAACGTTTTGTCATTAAGGCAACTCCATTTGAGGCCCATTTAGTCATTTGTGGGAACGGAGCCGTTGTGTAAAACGGCTTCACCACCCCCACAGGGGAAAGCAAAGCTCCTCGTGGGCAGACAGAGCTCAAGGAGGGCTCCAAACACCCCAACAATCTTTGGAGCTGGGAGCTGACCTGGGATTTGAGCCCCATCTCAGAAGCCATCCCTCTGCTTCAAAGGGGAGGTAATTTTGGCTTCTGCTGCAGCCCAGTTGCCTTTTGGGCCAGCAAAGAGCTCAGCCAGCACAAGGCAGGGCTGCAGGTCACACCTGACCCAAGGTCAGTACCTTCAGAACGAGCCTGGAGAAAGTTTCCTGCTCGTCCATCCACAGCCTTGCACCAGGTTAATGAACCCCCAGGGAAAGGGCTGAGCTGTGACACGGGGTCTGTTCCTTCATTTACTGCAGCTCCCGGGCTGGCTGCACAGACCTGGGGCAGGTTCTCCCTGCCTCCTCCATGAGGAATTTCACTTCTGCACTGGAAATGCCACAAAAAGTAACTCATGGAGCACGGGAGGCCCATCCTGCCCAGCCCCTTTCCCTGCCCAGCTGGTGTCAAACAGCTTGGCTGGAGCAGGACACGGAACAGGGCTGGAGAACAGAAGGGGCTTGCAGGGTCTCACACCAACCAACCCCAGGATTTGCCCCCTCCAGCCCCAACAACCTGCCACATCCTGCCACGGAGCAACCCCCCCAGCACGGGAACCACTCCGGGATGCTCACAGCCCTCAGGAAACCTCCTCCAAGAGGAACCGCAGCCCCGCGGCTCCCACCTCAAACCCACTCTCA